CACTCGTACACTTTTTGCTTTTAACTTCACTGCAATTCGCGCTTGCGATATGAAGTATGAATTACTTATTGTTCAATAAATATCATTGTAATGCAATTGCGCACAATTTGCGATTTTTTTTTAGAATTACTGTCTACTGTTCCATTTGTATCTAAAAAGAGTTAACTAGTAGTTGAAGATTATTCCAGCGGGCTAGGGGTAGAGTATCCGACTAAAATCCTTTTGTGTGGTGTTCCGTATGGCATTAGACCGTTTCGGCAAGTAGGAGGATGGCGCAAAAATGCTGTCTGAAATAGGCAGCAACCCTGGCAGTTTTGGACCAACGCAAGGATTTCAATACTACGGGTACGAAGAATTCTTGAAGCCCAACCATCGGTAACGTCTTTTGTGTCAACGATTAGGAGCCCATCGTGCGTCAGAAAGCATCTCGCTGTCACAGACTCACCCATATCTCCGAAGCTACGCTTTCATTACCCCAAAAGAAGAGGAGATGGAACGGAACCCGGTGAAACGCATCCTGATTCCTGGTATTCTTGGCTAAAACCAAATTTACAAATTACGCAGTGGTTCATTGTGGCAAAACAGTCCCCGCACAAAAACCTCGTATGTTCCTTTATAGAGGGCCGGTGTGTGGTGCCTTTATTCTACAGCTATGAAAGCCGATGTGAAAAGTGAAATCATACTGCCGTCTGCCAAGGTTGGCCTGCACCTCGACCACAAAGAATTTCCAGGTATTACCTAAGTACGCCAAATTTAAGATAGTAAATATGTACTGAAATCTTAGGGCCAGTTTTTCAGTGGCACTTCAAACTTAGTTTACGTAAACTGAGTTTAAATTGAACAGCTAGCTGATATTTTATTGGCTAATCTTAGTTTAATCGAGCGTTTATGTAAACTAAGTTTCAATCACAGCCGTGCGCTGAACAACTGGCCTTTAAAGTTAGGGACTAGAAGGAAAATTGTTACACAAACAGCTCATTTTCCTTCTTTTGGCATTATGCACCATCCGCTTGAAATGTTGGCCACATAATTTTTAAAAGTTATTATAACGGAAGAGAGCGCAGCTACCGGAAAAGTGGAGGCAAAACCACCTTTTTCATTTTTCATTTTTCGCTTTAGCTTTTAGCTTTTCATTAGTAGCGTGCATATATGTACATATAACTACGGTGACCATCCGTCCTGTATTAATTATACGGGACAGTCCTCTTTTTTGACCCATTGTCCTGGTAATTTCTTTATTTTATACGGGACGCCAAATGTTCTGTATTTCTTTTAATGTCCTGTATTTGTCCCGTATTCGGGGTTCCGACGCCTTAACAGCTCATTAAAATGGCATGCATATGAACAAGTTTTAAGTGATGTTGGTATATAATCGTAATTTTCTTTATAAACAGTTATTATTTTCTAATATGAATGATTCGAATCGAGGAATACATACAGTGCCCAAAATAGAAATTAGGACTCGGCATTTTTGGCTATTTTTCCTTAATTTATTTGATGATTATTATTTATTTTATGAAAGTAAAGCTCTTTTCCTAACAAAAACCATGTAATAATACCAAATTTCCAACTTTGTGCAAAAAACTATAAAAATTAATTCTGCAATGTTTCGCCAAAATTTCAAACTTTTTAATTAGAATCTTTATAAAAAAATTTGGTTTGCAGTTTTGTAACTCATGAAAATTTAGTATAATAAAGTGCGAGTGGAAAGTGCTGCTCATTTGCTTCTCTTTCAAAAAAATGGTCGAACATACATACTTTGTATGAAAAAGATGCGGAACACCCTCAACAAATTAAAAAAAAAATTCCAAAAATTATTATTTATTATACTAAAATTTAACGAATTTTTTTAACAAATTTTACAGGTAAAAATCTCGAGAAAATTATCCTACAAAATTTTTGATGTTACTATAAGGATACTGTTTCAGGGAAAACAGTGTGGAAAAAATTTGCAAAATGATTTTTTGTCCCGTATTCGGCGCTCATAAATATGGTCACCGTACATATAACACACACACATACCCACATACATACATACATATATATATGTATGTACAAAATGAGCTGATAACAAATTAAATTACGCAAAGTAAGAAGCCATAAAAATATGTGTGTGCCACCCCGAAGGTATTAACTGAAATAAATCACAACTTAAAAAATATATAAATAAAAACAGTGAGCATTCAAACAAACAAACAAACAAAAAATTGGTAAAATAGCAAGCCAACTGTCGACGAGCAGTAGCTCTACATACATACATACATATGTATGTATGTACAATCAACGCCAACGAAACGTTTCACTCTTGCAGAAAATTCGCTGATTTCATACGTTTTTCTGGCTTGCCACCACACCGCACAGACATAAACTTACAAGCACAGGAAAGTATGTACATACATATGTACAAAAGTTAAATTTTACGTTGGTGGTTAAAGTTATTGGTTAATCGTTTTGCCCTGATGCCAAAATGGTGGCTCATGGCGGCAACCATAATCATCATCGTCATCAATGCGATGATGTGGCAGATAATAATGAAGAATATCATAGTCATGGATGGCGTTAG